TAGGTGAAATCAATATTCTCGTTGGTTTGAGTGCAAGGTGATATGAGGATAGGAACACCACTCCAAAAACCGCGTCTGCCTTGCGCGCTCTCCGACCTCCTAGGATGATTAAAAGGCTTTTGTTTAAGACAGATCAGGGCTCTGGCAACTTAGCTGAGTGTGGTCCCAGAAAATACAGGACGCGTCGGAACGGAGGGGGTCGTTCTGGGCGAGGAAATCTCCCCTCCCCCCAAGGTCGTGCCTGGCGCCAGGGGCTACCGGTAGCGACTGGGAGGCTCAGGCAGGGCTATGAGTTGGGGTGCCCCGGGCCAGGCTGAGCTGATGGGGCTGCGGGAATCGGCAGACTGTCCCGGGATACGTTTATACTCCAAGGCGTCGTGGAATGGGGAATACATTTGAAGCAAACGGGGCTTGCATTTGACAGACTCCTGGCCATCCTTCCAAGCCGCCTGCTGGCCTTGAGCACGGAGTTTGATTTTGGGACCAGCTCTTGGAAACAGTTTTCTTGACGCGAGCCACTCTAGCTCCTGCCCCCTTTGCAAAGTCCTTTACATGTGAGAGGGCCTGTGTCACCATCCGAGGTCCAAAAGGCAGGTTCCAAAAGGGAGGGCTCCAGGACGTGAGCTTCCAAAGATGGGTGGCCATCCCTTCCCCAAAGTTCATTGTGAAGCGCACGCAAGCCCCCGAATTAGTGCGGGCCTGGTCGACTCCGCTGTCTCTATTTCCTCCCTCCAGACCCTGGATCAAAAGCCCTGGGTCTACCTCTGAGAGCTGGCATCTGCTTCAGCGGTGGCTGAGGCGCCATGAGCACCCCAGTGAGGCGCCAGCCAGAGGCGTGGGTGTTCCCTGTGGGAACTCCCGGCTCCAGCCTGTCAGACTGTGGATCCAGCTTAGCTATAGTGAAGCCACATTTTCTGGGGCCTAACTCGGACCTCAGTCCACGCGGGGTGAGAGCCCCCTTACCCAAATATCGTTGTGTTCCTCTTTAGGTGGCTCCAGAGGGGGGCGCATGTCGCTTTGCAGGGGACTTCTTGACTTTGACTGGCAGCCTCCCCCAACGGCATGCATTTCCTTTCCTCCCGGCAGCGCCCAAGATGGGCCTGAAAAATGCCAGGGGATTGGACCAGGACTTTTAGGGGGACAAGAACAAAAGGGGTCAGGCTGAGCCCTTTTGATCGTTCAGGGCTATGGGGCTCATAGAGGGTGGCTATGTATTTTGAGTCGCCAAGGTCTCAGATCTTGAAGTGGAGGGAAAATGCGCGGAGTAGGAGTCTTTTGTGTCTGCAATGGAAAGAGGCTCCCTGGCTGCTGACCCTTTTGCACGTCTCCATAGACCCCCTCATCGCGTTGGTGGTAGCTTCCCCAGCCTCTCCATTTGCTCCCTCCATGTCTTGATTTCTTTTCACATTGGCTGGGAGGTGCGCGTTGCAACGCGGAGGGGCGCCTTGGGAAAGCAGCTTTTAAAATTTGTCTCCATCCACTCTGCCACCAGAGTGGCACAGCCCTGAGGCCAGGCTGCTCAGGGCCCAAATTCAGGGTGAACCTCGGAGTCCCCAAGTCCACTCAGGCCCAGGGCTGCTGCTGTTCTTCCCTGTGACAGGAGAGCGCAGATGCAAGCCATCCCTTGATTACAAATACTAATTTCTTGCTAAAGCAACCCTTTTAAATTTTTTGGGGTTTTTTGGTTTTTGGGGTTTTGGTTTTTTTTTGAAAGAGCTGTGCCAGGGAGAAGGATGTTTGGTACAAACATGGATATTCATCTCCTTTATGGTGCAATATTGATTTATTATTAATGGTAACTGCTCCCACTGATCTAAGGATGATCGAGAACAGTGGCTATGCTGCTATATTAAATACTTCTAAGCAGAATAAGGTTGGCCTTGAAAGCTATTGCCTTTTCATTCTATTTGTTTCATCTGAGCCTCAGGATCTTAAGCAAACTTTCCATCCTTCCCTTCCATATCATGCTCTTGTATTAAAACTATTTTGCTTTATTTTTATGATAAAATATCTCTGAACTATTGGAAGTCTCTGGCCTTAAGGAGCTGATGTGAACGCAGAAATTTGAAAAAGAATAAAATAGATTTGTGATAATAGATTCAAAATTATATCTGATACACATTTTTTTTCTGAAAGTGAAGAAGATCTATTTAAAAACAATTCCAATGTGGGGGTGACTTTGAGCTCAAAGCCACCAGGAGCTGAAACAGAAAATCCCCCATACTCAGAAGGCAGATTCTGCCTGTCCTGGCTCACCGAAGACCTACCCGTTCCGCGAGGAATCGCTGTTTTTTAGCCTGGATGTTTTCTTCATGTATAAATAAAGATTATGAAAGGGCATTTGATGGGCATAAAATTCCCAATTAGATTGAACAGTCTTGCCTTTGGCATGGTATAGGGAGAATTGGATAACCGAGTTCCTGGCAGCTCCCCTGGCCGAGGTGCACAGGGACAGTGCTGGAGCGCCAGGCTGGCGTCAGGGCGCCTGCCGAGAGCGTGTGTAGCGGGCACTTTGTCCAACCCTGGGCACAGTTAGCTGTGGCTGGGATAATGATCTCTGCCTTGTGAGAAAGCAATTTTCAGGGTTCTGGCCAGTGGCTGTTAGCTTTGAACAGGATCTTAACAGACTGGAATTAAAAGTTGTTTTTTGTTTTTGTTTTTGTTTTTTGCCTTTCTCCCTCAAGCTTAAAAACAGACACCCCTGCCGAAAGGTAATGTAATGTTTAAACCTTGAGCTTTCCCTGCCCGAAGTCGGAGCAGTTAGAGACGCCAGGCTTTTAACCTGACAATGATGTTGTATTTGAACAGCTGCGTAAAGGTTTAAAAGGTCTGTCTCATTGCCACCGCGGAGTTTTTTAAAAGGGGTTATTGTTTGGGCGAGGGCACTGCGAGGGGACAAGCGAAGCCGTCCCAAGGCCGAAAATAATGTCCAACCCCTGTTTCCACCAGGCCAGGGGAGATTCCTTTTGGGGAGAGGGGACAAAGAGTTTGTTGGAAAAGATTTTTGTTAAGGAGCAACTGGGCTACTAGGTCCTGCAGAATGCTGAGGCACATTAATGAGCATCGGGCTCCAAAGAAATGTTCTGCTGAGGTGGAAACCCAGTTTGCCCACAAGTTCAGTCTGTGGGCCTGAAATCCAAGGCCAGCCCATGACAGGCAATGTGGGGAGAGGAAAACATGGATGCCTTCCCGGAGAGAGAACTGGTTCATGATCAGAGTTGGGTGAGGGGGGCCTTTTCTTCTCTCGGATGCAGAGAAGGGGATCCGGAAGCCACAGGATGGCTCCAGCGCCCGGCCCAGCCCCTCGACCAGGCGAGTCTCTGGAAATCAAGGTTAAAGCTCCCCGCTGCTGCCTGAGGCCGGAGCTTCCGAAAGGCTGCTCACCCGCCTGGAACCAGAGAACGAGGGAGGAAGTTGTTGGAGAAGTTTCTCATAAAACTCCGAGTTTCCATGGTGGTGATGGTGGTTGTTCTTTAATGAGCTCGACCACAACCCCAGACCAAATCCTCTTTATAGAACTTTCTCTCACCAAAGGAAACAGAGGACTAAGATTCTTCCCCCACCTCCTTTTTTTCCTCTCTCCCCTTACCCAAGCAAAACCATGTTAAATAATTTTAGGAATTGTCCGAAACTATAAAACTCAACTTCTGACAAAAGTATAGCTTTTAATATTTGACGATTTGTGTTAAAACAAAAATTGACCTTCTTGGTTAGTAGTGAAGGGGAAAATCAATAGTATAATTTTCAATAATTCATAAAGCGAACGCCATTATGCTAAATCTTAACTATTAATCTTATCCTTTACAAAGTCTCGATTGATTTGTTAATAAAATATCTTCCCGTGTGTGGCAACAGCGGGTATAACTCTTTAAAAACCTTCAGAAGCAAGAAAATTACCAAGTAGCCCAAGAATGTAGATGAGAATTTTATTGATCGCCCTGATTCTTCTTAATATGTATTAATAAATTCCACAACCTTTTGTACCTTGCACTTGTCAGAAACCAATGCTTTTACAAAATCCATAAAAGGAAAACATTTTTCTTTGCAGAAGAACCAAATGACACCTTTGCATTCTCTCTTTCTCCTGCTTGGCCCAGTCAGTTTTCTAAAACTTCTAAAGCCTGAGGGCGAGAGTTTTCCTCTTTGAAAATATTTTCCTTCTCTCTTCCTTCCTTCCTCTTTGCCCTCCATTTATCAGGGTTTATGGGGAGGGAAAGCTCAGTTTAGTTCTCCTGCTGGGAACCCAAGGGCCGCTTTCGCGGATTGCAAACTGCTCGACGAGGGATTGTCTCCGGTCTGAAAGCTCCCACTGGCCTGGCCCGCAGAGGTCGGGGTGTGGCTCCTCAGAAAGCCCAAGGCTCGGGTAACTCACCGGGGCGCGAAGGGGCCCGGAGCCCGGGCGGGCAGGCCGAACGAGAGGACAGCGCCGGGCGGTGCCCAGCCGGTCCTCGAGGCTCCCGGGCCGGCCATCTACTTGGCCTCTCGGCCCTCGCGGCCCTTCTTGTCTCCGCTCCCCAGGATACCTTGGCCGCGTCTTTGCGCGAGAGATTTTTTTCTGTGGATACCTGGGGTGGGAATGTCTCAGAGCCCGGGGAATCGACTCACCTTCCCAAGCTTCCCGGGACAAAATTAACCAGCCTGGGCCCCCACCCCCGCCCGGGCCCCGGTCCTCTCAGGCGCGTTCTGCCTGGGTGTATGCGGGGGAATGCTTCTGTGTGCTGGCGCCACCGCTCTCCGGCTTCCCTCCCCGCGCGTGTCCTCCCGGAAGCCCCTCCGGCCGAGCCTTTCCTTCCGCCGGCGGGGCCCAGAGGCCGGAGTTGGGGACGCGAGTGGGGCAGGCGGGCCGAGCGAGCCCCGGGTAAGCCGGCGGGCGGCGGAGAGTGCTGGGCGGGTTGTCTCCAGCGCGCACTATCTCAGGCGCGTAGTAGATGTCGCTGTTGTCCGTGCTTACGCTGCCGGCCGGCCGGGCTCTGGAGCACGTGACCTGCGAGGAGGCTGCGGCTCAAGGCCATTTTCAAATCTCATTGGCTTGGTTGTCATGTGGTCGGCAGAGGCATCCACAATTACACGGGGAATGTTTTCCTAGAGATGTCAGCCTACAAAGGACACAATCTCTCTTCTTCAAATTCCTCCCCAAAATGTCCTTTCCCAACAGCTCTCCTGCTGCTAATACTTTTTTAGTAGATTCCTTGATCAGTGCCTGCAGGAGTGACAGTTTTTATTCGAGCAGCGCCAGCATGTACATGCCACCACCTAGCGCAGACATGGGGACCTATGGAATGCAAACCTGTGGACTGCTCCCGTCTCTGGCCAAAAGAGAAGTGAACCACCAAAATATGGGTATGAATGTGCATCCTTATATACCTCAAGTAGACAGTTGGACAGACCCGAACAGATCTTGTCGAATAGAGCAACCTGTTACACAGCAAGTCCCCACTTGCTCCTTCACCACCAACATTAAGGAAGAATCCAATTGCTGCATGTATTCTGATAAGCGCAACAAACTCATTTCTGCCGAGGTCCCTTCGTACCAGAGGCTGGTCCCTGAGTCCTGTCCCGTTGAGAACCCCGAGGTTCCTGTCCCTGGATATTTTAGACTGAGTCAGACCTACGCCACCGGGAAAACCCAAGAGTACAATAACAGCCCCGAAGGCAGCTCCACAGTCATGCTCCAGCTCAACCCTCGCGGGGCGGCCAAGCCGCAGCTTTCGGCTGCCCAGCTGCAGATGGAAAAGAAGATGAACGAGCCCGCGAGCGGCCAGGAGCCCACCAAAGTCTCCCAGGTGGAGAGCCCCGAGGCCAAGGGCGGCCTTCCGGAAGAGAGGAGCTGCCTGGCTGAGGTCTCCGTGTCCAGTCCCGAAGTACAGGAGAAGGAAAGCAAAGGTCGGTATGAGCAAAGTTGTCACCCCAGCGGGGCGCGCAGCCCGGGATCCCGGCAGAGAGGGAGCACCTGGGTGCCCAGCGCCGCCCGGGCAGCCCAGGTGGGGCCGACTTGCAGGTGCAGCTCCTCCCAGCTTTTAGAGAAGCAATCTCAGTCCCGAGATGGTCTCCGCTTCTCCCCGGTTGCCCTGGCCCTCCTGGCTAGTCCTGGCCCTACGTGATGGCGCCCGGGCAGAGGAAGGGCTTGCCGGGTTTATTTTTCCTGAGCTAGATCTGAAATGCAACAAAGGAGTGCAAATGAGTCCTGCGGCTCGTAAACACGGCCTCAGAATCTCCTTTCTCCCGCTCAGATTTGTAGTCCCAGCTTTATCTTTCACCCAATGATGATTTTAAGGTGGTCCAAGGCACCGTGTTCGTGTTCAAGTGTATGCACCCCGCATCTTGCGAGCTTGGAGACGGCAAGGGGAACGAGATGGCTTGGCTGTTTGGCGCTTGGGCCGGGGAACAGGGCTCCCTGCCTCTGCGGGGCTAGGTAACCTTGGCTTTGTCTGGGGAAAGTGCAGCAAGCTTTGTAATCCATTTGCAAAGGCGAAATGGGGGAGAATGGAATCTGGATGGCCCACCTGACAGCCAGCCATAGGGCTGGGCTAGGGCAAAGAGCCAGGGGCTCTGGTTTTTTGAGAAGGAACCCTGCTCCTGAGTCTCTCCCCCAGTGCCCAGAGGTGGGCCACATTAAGAAGCTACATTTCTGAAGGAATGCCTTTGTGTGGGGGCAACAAGGCATGAGAATTCAAGAAAATCTGGGGAATGTAACAATGCCCAGACAGGGCTGAGAAGGTATACTCAATTCCTTGGTTATATTTTGAAAGAGAATGGACACCTATGGGGCTCCCCAACTGCCTCGGAGAAGTGGGGGGGAAATGGCAGACTTGGGGACCTGAGGGAGCAATGGGGTTGGTATAGGCTTGTCTAGGCTGTGGCTTGCTTTCTTCCACTCCAGGCTTATTATAAGCTGACCACTTAGAATGTTGCTGGGGAGTTCCTGAAAGTTTACTATTGTACTAATGTTTTGTGCAGGTCAGAAAGTTGAGAGAGAGAACCCTGACACAGAGGGCGAGAGTACCCGCCCATCGTGTCATTTGGGGCATTTAAACTAATCTGGCATCAATTACAAATCCCTTCCAGGGCCCACCTCATGTGAGTAATGTTTAATACCAGTATTTCCCAAAGCGGCCTGGCTGCCAGCGGGGTCATGGCCAAGGGTACATTTGAACAGACTGAGAGAAAAAAAAATTCTTGATTTTTTTTCTTCTTCTCCCTTTAATTTTGTTAGAGGAAATCAAGTCTGATACTCCAACCAGCAATTGGCTCACTGCAAAGAGTGGCAGAAAGAAGAGGTGCCCTTACACTAAGCACCAAACGCTGGAATTAGAAAAAGAGTTCTTGTTCAATATGTACCTCACCCGCGAGCGCCGCCTAGAGATCAGTAAGAGCGTTAATCTCACCGACAGGCAGGTCAAGATTTGGTTTCAAAACCGCCGAATGAAACTCAAGAAGATGAGCCGAGAGAACCGGATCCGAGAACTGACCGCCAACCTCACCTTCTCTTAGGTCCAAGGCCCATGGGAGGCCAGGATCAGAGAAGGGGCACTGAGTTCCAGGGCAGAGTGCTGGAGGACTGGGAAGGCGGAAACAAAACCTTCATTGCTCTTTGTTTTGTTTTGTTTTGTTTTCCTGCTAGAATGTGACTTTGGGGTCATTCTGTTCGTGCTGCAAGTGATCTGTAATCCCTATAAGTATATATATACAGTATATATTAAAAAACTAGCACGTGTAATTTATTATTATTTTTCATCGTAATGCAGGGTAACTATTTACTGCACATTTTCATTTGAGTCTTAAATTATTGGAATTGTAGAGCATCCATCAATCCATTCATCCATCCGGCAATGTGACTTTTTCATGTTTTTCCTAACACAAAAGGTCTGTATGTGTGATTAGTCCATGAGCTCATGGCGTTTTGAATACATCAGTACTTAAAAGTACTTAAATTACATATATATTTAAATAAGATTAAGAAAACCCACAAGCTTTGGGGGTAGGGGGCCTAAGAAGCACATTACAATGTATCTTTTTGCAAATGAACTTAGCAATTGTCCTTGGTGAGATGGAATATTGACAATTTATGCCTTGTAGCCTTTCCTTGTGGTGCATCTGTGGTTTGATAGAGTACAACAGCAACCTGTCTTTTCTGTGCATGTTCTGGTCGCATGTATAATGCAATAAACTCTGGAAACGAGTTCGCTCCCTCTGCTTTCTGAAATGGAAATATGTTATGGTGGAATTGAAAATCTTTGGTGAAATTATCTTCCTGTTAAATTGCTTGTTTGGGGCAGTTCAGGGGAGGGAGAAAGAGCAGGGGAAAGGATATAGAAGAGAGAAGCTGGAGGAGGCCTAGGGTCCTGAAATTTAGCAGTGGTTGGGGGGCAGTGAAAACCCAGCCTGGGTGTGCTGTTTCCATAGTTGGGAGGAAAGAGAGTCCTCTCTCCCCTGCCCCCCAAAGATTGAATTGAATTCTCAATGGGTGTAAGTTTCTCTCTAGCCCGAGCCTGGTAAGTAAGTAAGCCTGTGCCCAAGCTGCTTTTTCCTGAAATCTCCCTACTTGGGTGTCTTCATCTCTTTTGTTTCAGTTGTGTTCTTTTTAATGCTTTCAGTGGGGTCTTGGCAATTTCTAGCTGGCGTGCCATCGTCAGGGGCTGGGTTGAAACCAGTCTCACCCACCTGGAAGCTGCATGGCCTCCATTGCAGGAACAAGGACAAGCAGCAGCTTAGCATTGCATCGGATTCAATTCTGCGCCCCCATTCCCTCATTCTCACCCTCATCCCAAGCACAAGACAGCCAGGCCAAAGCAAAGCAGAGGATGGGTGAGTCTTGCCATCCCACTTTGCCCTAGTTCCTTGTGGAAGGATTTTATGCTCAGTCATTACCTTTTAGTGGTACACATGAAATTTTTTTAAAGGAAGAGAAGATTTCCCCCCCAGTAAATCCTCCCTCTGTTTAATTACAAAATGCTGATTGGAGCCACTGTATCTGGGAGGCAAGAAAATGTATAAAGGGTGACCAAAAGACAATTTGCAAATAAACGTGACTTCCTATGAAGTCCAGTGTTTCAGCTACCACCATGGCTCAGAAAACTCCAGCTTTCACCAGTATATATGCTGCAGGATACTCAGCCCAAGAGATTCCAGACTTATCTAGTCTTGCCAGGGAGAAGGGAGGAGAGGCCTTGGGGAGAATTGCTGACAGAACTCGTTACCCCAGGTTGTGCTGCGGTTTCAAAGAGTCTCCAACAGCTTCAAGCAGCTTCACAAAAAACCGTTTTCATTTCTAAAAACAATCTATTTAGGGGCTCTAAGCCTTAGAGCCCCCATCCAGGGAGTCTTTGGCAGACTCCATATTTATTCAGAGTTTTAAACATCCTCCTCAAAACTAAGAACCTGCCCCAGTTCCAAGACAGAACTATTTAGAGGATCCATTTCCTAAGGGTGGGAGAGATTCGGCTTGGAATGAATGCCAGGTTGGAAACATTGGAATCTATTTGCCCAGATCTCCATTGGTTGGACAAGAAAAGGTGGCCAATTTTGACTTCTCCGTTTCCTCCGAGATGTGAGGAGCTCCATTAGTTGTTGACAGGGGGCCATGTCTCGGAGGAAAACCCGCGCTACAGGCAAAGGCAGCAACTCTGGAACAAAATCAGAACGCCACTGGCAAAGACAATCAGGCCAGAAGTAGTCATTCCACCTTCTTTTGGGGCTCAAGGTGGGCTGGGAGCCCTCTAAGGGTGCGCTGAACAACTTGTAGAGCGAGGAATATATCCTCCGCCGCCGGCTCCCGCCTGCTTTTGTTTCGGCTCCCAGCCGGGCTTCCGAGGCTTTGTACCATGGATTTGGGAGTGACAATGGGCATTTCCCTCAGATTCAAGGCTGCCTAGCCTTGCCTCAGAAGGCGAAAGAGAAAGATGAAAGAAAGAAAAGAAAAGGAAAGAAAGAAAGAAAGAAAGAAAGAAAGAAAGAAAGAAAGAAAGAAAGAAAGAAAGAAAGAAAGAAAGAAAGAAAGAAAGAAAGAAAGAAAGAAANGAAAGAAAGAAAGAAAGAAAGAAAGAAAGAAAGAAAGAAAGAAAGAAAGAAAGAAAGAAAGAAAGAAAGAAAGAAAGAAAGAAAGAAAGAAAAAGAAAAAGAAAAAGAAAAAAGAATTCGGAAGAGTGGTCACAAGGACCAGGCCATTTTTAAGACATCTCAGGCATCCGCTTGGAGGCCTCTAAGTGGGAACCAGGCAAGCGGCCCTGCCCGGGGAGATGCGGTTGCTACTGGTCTCTTGGAGGCAGGGTCTGGGCGGCGGGTGGGAGCGGGCCTGCGCTACCATTTGGGTTCTGCCCTATGGCATGTTCTCTTCCAGGGCCTTTCTAGCAGCCCGGGAGAAGACAGGCACCCTTGCCGCCACTGTCCGCACGGTGCCGACTCTCCAGTCTGCCGGCCGCTTCGAGGGCAGACAGAAGCTCCGGCTGTGGCCGCCGCTGCGCCCAGCCCGCGGGTCAAAGCCGCCCCAGTTCACCCGTCGGGCCGCGGCGTGTGCTCAGCCTCACGTCGGGGGTGTGTGTGGCTGCGCGGGCGTGTGTGAGTGTGGTAGGGGGAGGGGACCCTCCAAGCTGCTCCATCCGTCCGTTTTATTAGGGACACATTAATCTATAATCAAATACACCTCATAAAAATTTTATTGAAAGGCATAATATCATTACAGAGGTCTTCCACCTGTTTTAAACAACACGACAAGCTGTGAGAGAGCGTGTGTGTGTGTGTGTGGGGGGGTGTGGGTGTGGGGGGGTATGTGTAAGGAGGGGGTGGGTTTGGGTAGGGAGAGAGGCACAGGGAGAAGAACTCCCCTCGGGCGCCAGGGGGCCGACTCTGAAGGCCGGGCTGTTTGGGGCCGCACCGGGCCTGCGCGACCCCGACTGCTCCCGGCTGTGCCCAAACTCTCGGTGAGCCCAGGACGCGCAGTCGGTAGCTGGGAGCCCAGGCGCTGGGGAGGCAGCGACGGGACCGAACTGCAAGACCAAGGGCGGCAAAAGGAAGCGAACAAATAGTCCCCAGCGCCTCCTCCGACCGCAGTCAGGCGTGTGGTCCCAGTAGCCGCCGAGCTGGCCGAGCCAGGCTGGGCCAAGTCCGGTGCACTGTCCGGGGCCCGCGGGCTCTAATTGCATGGCTTATGTTGATGATGATGATTTTTTTTTTTAATCACAGCAGCCCCCAGTTTAGCGGACTGATTTACTCCTGGTATTGGTAAATATGATCACGTGGGCCGCGCGACCAATGGTGGAGGCTGCAGCCTGCGAACTAGTCGGCGGCTCCGGCGCCGGCGGGGAGCGGCGCGGCGGCGGGCAGTGTAACCTTGGGTGGGAGCGCACGGTGCTTCAAAATGTCCTCCAGTGGCACCCTCAGCAACTACTACGTGGACTCGCTCATAGGACATGAGGGCGACGAGGTGTTCGCCGCGCGCTTCGGACCTCCTGGGCCCGGCGCGCAGGGCAGGCCCGCAGGTGTGGCCGACAGCCCGGCCGCCGCCGCGGAGTTTGCCTCGTGTAGTTTTGCCCCCAAATCGGCCGTGTTCTCCGCCTCGTGGTCCGCGGTGCCCGCCCAGCCCCCGGCGGCGGCGATGAGCGGCCTCTACCACCCATACGTGCCCCCGCCGCCCCTGGCTGCCGCAGCCTCCGAGCCCAGCCGCTACATGCGCTCCTGGATGGAACCGCTGCCCGGCTTCCCGGGCGGCGCGGGCGGCGGCGGCGGCAGTGGAGGCGGCGGTGGCCAGGGCCCTGGTCCCAGCCCTGGCTCCAGCGGCCCACCCAACAGGCGCCACTACGGGATTAAGCCTGAAACCGGAGCGGCCCCGACCCCCGCCGCCGCCGCCGCCACCTCCACCTCCTCCTCCACTTCCTCGTCTTCCTCATCCAAACAGACTGAGTGCTCTGCGGCCCGGGAATCCCAGGGGAGCGGCGGCCCCGAGTTCTCGTGCAACTCGTTCCTACGGGACAAGGCGGCGGCAGCAGCAACAGGGGGGACCCGGCCTGGGACAGGGATCGGGGCTGGGGCCGGGACAGGCGGCTCGTCGGAGCCCTCGGCTTGCAGCGACCACCCGAGCCCCGGCTGCCCGCTGAAGGAGGAGGAGAAGCAGCATCCGCAGCCACCACAGCAGCAACTTGACCCAAGTAAGTGCAAAAGAAATTGCCCCCTGATTTATTGCCGAAACCTGTAAGGCTCGAATGTGCAAAACTGATAGTTTTACTAACCTATAAAAACGTCTAGACGCCTACCTTAGCCTAGGCGAGCAACACACATCCATAAAAAAGCTTCCCATAACCACCTACCCTGGGTGCGCGGTTTGTACGGTAAACAGAGCGCGGGCATTAAGGTTTTTTATGATAATTCCCCCAAGTTGTGAAAAGCGACCATCCTTGGTGAAATTAATTTAACGACCTCTCTCCCCCACCCTGTCGTCTCTCCCTGCCTCCCCTCCGCCCCTCGCTCCCCTTCTGCAAACCCCCCTCTTCATAGACAACCCCGCCGCAAACTGGATCCACGCTCGCTCCACCCGGAAAAAGCGCTGTCCCTACACCAAATACCAGACGCTGGAGCTAGAGAAGGAATTCCTCTTCAACATGTACCTCACCCGGGACCGGCGTTACGAGGTGGCAAGGATTCTGAACCTCACAGAGAGACAAGTCAAAATCTGGTTCCAGAATCGTAGGATGAAAATGAAAAAGATGAGCAAGGAGAAATGTCCCAAAGGAGACTGACCCGTCGCGGCGCCGGCGGGACCGCCCTGTTTTGCAAAGGCAGTGGGGTTTTTTCTTTGTGGGTGCTTGATTTCCAGAAACTCTCCGCGATACGGACATTTCACACACACCCCCCTTTAGGTAGAAGTGACTGTGTGGTTGGTCTCTGTGAGGTATTTGGGGGACTCTATATTTGCTCGCTTATATGTTGGAGAAACCAAGTGGCTTTGGGGTTCTGCCCTGTCCCGTGCCCTCCCTTTCCTGCCCCGTTGGTTCCTTAGGAAATGCTGTATTTTGTGAGTGTACGCTGGCTTGAGCAGCCCTCTCCTTTGTAAATGTCTTCCATGTTTCTTAAAAGTGCTGTAGTTTAGACCCCAGCTCTGCTCGAGCAGGGGGCCACACGCGCCCCACTTCCGAGCATGAAGGCAGAGCGACGGCAGTGTGGAGACTCTCCGAGGCGTGGCCGGGTAGCCCAGCGGTTATGAAAGCCCCCTTTCCACAGGGAGCCCGCGGCCCTCGACTGAGACCTGGAAGGAGGCAGACAGAGGAGCCCAGGGCCTCCGGTGGAGCGGGGTGGGGGTTACTCAGTGCACTGGAGGAGCCGCTGCCCCAGGGAGGGCTCGGCTCGCGTGGGCGGCCGCGGGTGTAGGCCCTCCGGGTTCCTGCCTGAGGACCAGTTGTAAATGTTACCGCTTCCTACCAATAAATGCTGACCTGATCAAATGGAGCCCAGACGCTGGCCCTTAACGCTGTGTGCCTGCTTTCTCTGTATTTCTGCAAAATATCACTCTCAGGGACTCCTTCCCCGTCTTTGGGAGTGAGACACTGCTAAAAACCAGGGGTCCTTCCACCTGAGAGGTTGCTCTGATTTCCCTCCGAGTCTCCCTTTGTGTGGGCAGACCCAGTAGAGCAAAGACCGTGTGTGTATGGGGGGGGGCGGGGGGAGCGGCTTGGCGGTCCCATCTCTCCCTCAGCTTGCTTCCATCACCTTAGCGAACTCTGTGCCCTGGAACCAGTGTCAGCCTTGCAGCAGTGCCCAGAGGAGCCGAAAGGCTTCAGAAAGCAGGCACCCTCTTGCTGGGGCGCTGGCACACCGTACCCCATGTGTCTCTCTGGTCATGTAGTCACAGCCATCGACCCACCTCTCCAAACAAGGGAATGGCCAACTCTGCCTTCTGGAGCAACTCCTGAAGCACGGCGGGCCTGTCTGGCTCCGGGAAGGCTGAACCGGTCAGGCTGTGAGCTTCCGCCCCTCCCCACAGGAGCACAAAGTGACCTTAGCAGATCAAAATGGTCAAGGCTCTCCTCCGCAGTTACCTCCACCTCACCGCCCCCTCTCCCCTACCCAGTTTCTGTGCGCGTTTAGCCCCCAGCTTGGCCCTCTGAGGGCCTCATTCAGAGGCTAAAATGAAGGTCATTGTAAGTGAGGGTTCGGGCCCAGCACAGCTTTTGCAGACCCGAGAGGCGGCGGCGCCGGGCGGCCTGGGCTGGGCGGAAGGCAGGGACGAAGACAGAGTTTTGGGGGTTCCTGATGAAAGAGGGGACTTGAAGGAAAAGCAAAGGGGGGAGGCGAGGGAAAGCCAAGGCCCAGATCCGGCAGAAGGTGCTGCGTACCCCCACCCCTGCGGCCAACCCGATACCTAGGGGTCTTTGAAAACAGGAAGAGCCAAGGTGTCATAAAGCCATCGAGCCGGCGAGACGTCTGGAGGTAATGAGTTTACGACAGGCCCGGCGCTTCGCTTTGAAACCATCTCATTTTGATGTTTGTGTTTGTAGGAGGAAAGGAAAAATGCAGACAAAACTGGGTCTTAAAATCCGGACAATAAAATATAAACAAGACTGCGTTGGACTAAGAAGGCAGGGGTTTGGGAACGCCCGGTGAGGTGTGCGCACCTAGGAAATTAAAATGGGGGTGGGTAGGAAGGAGGAGGTGATGTATTTCTGATTTTTAAAATGGTCCAGGTATTAGAATTAGCCTACGGTGGGTGCCTCTTTATAATATTTGACTATGGCGGTGGTCTAGCTTGTTCTTTTTGTTTTTAAATCCGCCTCTTATTTGGGGATGGGAGAGTTAGTGATCTTGGGTCATTTACTCGGGTCGAGGGTCTCCCAGCCTCATGGTCAGTTGGAAAAGATGAAGTTACTTAAATGCCTTTTTACAAAAAAAAAAATCTGACCTTCCACTCCAAATTTAATAGCAAAAATATTATTGGAAATTGTATCTATTTGCTTATAGAAAATATAATAGTTACTGCTGAATTGGAGGAAAGTATATTTGAAAAGGAGAAAAAAGGTTAATCTCGCAGGAAACGCCTAAGCTGATTAAAGTCTTTGCTTTAATAAAAAAATTGAAGTGGAATGCTTAGTCACTTCATTTCATTCTGTGACTTCTGATGTAAACTTAAAATCTCCTTTATTGTGTATAGACATTCCAATGAACACGGCCCAACCGAGCCTTTCCAGACGACCACTCAGAGATCTAGCAAAAAGCTTTTAATTTGGTCTGGATACCCGTCCCCCATTGCCCAGCGAAATGGGCCTGAAGAACTAAAATTACAAAGTTAAAATAGCAAATATTCATGAGTCAACACTGAGTGACAGTTTTAAAAGAAAAACTTAACAAAATTAACTTCTATAATTTCTTAGGTTTTGAAGTGCCTGGCTCCTCTGGGGGGAAAAAATCCTGTTGCAGTTGATATTTAGAAACTTGTGATTTTTGTTAAATCTAGCCCAACCTATAGTTGTGGGTGCTTACAGAATGGGGACCTACTGTGTCTGGCAAAAGAAGGGTTGGAAACTTTTGAAAAAAAAACTACTGGAAGCTCTCGGGAGCACAAATATCTTTGGCTTTCAGGAGCCCGTTTGCTGCTCTTAACTTGTTGACAATCAAAGGGATGAAGCATTATTAGTGTCAGCGATCCAAGCCCCAGTTAAACTAAAGAATAAGATTGGAATTAGTTTGAATCGAATAAAGGTAAGCCAAGCTCAGTCGGCTCCAGGTGGCATTTGGCCACCAGAGAGCGCCGTTGCTCCACTTTGTGATCTCGTAAAGCAAGAGTTGGGGGTGGAGGAAGGTTTTGATTAAAAATATTTATAATATTATTTTTAATTCCAAATTAGGACAAATTTAACAAATAAAAGAAGCAATGTTCACTATTAAATTCTGCAGCCATGTTTGTTAGGTATAAAATTTTGGCTTAGTCAGGATTTCAGAAAATTTGGACTATGGCACAGCTGAAACTATAAAATGTTATGGCAAGTTAATGCATTCTATCAAAACAGAAGCGTGTAAAAGCATAGATCTTTATTTGCGAAGTTTATCGCGCTCTTTTGCCATTCAGATTATAAATAAAATGCTTGAAAGAAAAACTAAGTGTTTTGTCCCAAGAGGAAATGTTGTGTTGTAATAATGTTTTCTTAATTAGGCCAGAATGTGTAGAAATGAATTTTGTAGTATTTGTATTTCCTTTTAATCCTCCAGGAACCACATAGTTCTAGGCAGTGCCTTGCATTGAGATCTGGGCTCGCTCTCCCTTTTCTCCATTCCATTTTAAAACCCACTCTTTTATCGAGTGTTTAAACACACACACACACACACACACACACACACACACACACACACACACACACACACACACACACACACCAAACAGTGAAATAAAAAAGGCACGATTACAAAGTTACTTCCAAGCCTTTGTTGAAAATAATACTCTTTTAATTGGGTACTTGCAAGACTGGAATACAAATCATTAACTGTCAGAACCTGGTTCAATCGCCTTAGGATTTAAAGGAAGTTTCACCTGGAGATAACTGGCAGACACACACACACACACACACACACACACACACACACACACACCCGCACCCCCACAACACAAGTCTCCTGCACTCTACTAAGTTAAAAACTAAATAAAGTATGACTTTATCATCTGGAGATTTATTAGCAATCCGTTTACCATTTCCAGCCATTCCCTGTTAAAAGCAATTGAAAGTCTTAGACATTATTATCTTGTTATGCCTTTCCATCTCGACCTTATTTTCTTCATTTGCAAAATATGATATTTAGTCCACCCGGACTGATCTCAGGATTGCACTCAGAAGCTGGGACAACCCACAGGGAGTGGGGTTAGTTGAAATCACTCGCCTTCTGCGTCTTTTGGGGGCTGTCTAGGGTTTTTAGACATTTGCATTTGGCATGAAAAGCTGGCGGTAGTGTGTTTCATCGTTAGCGGGAACATCCTGGATGGGCTCAGGGCATGTTTTCGAGGTTGGTTCCCAAGGCCCGTGGCCTGGCGTCCTCATAATGGATTATCCACAAAGGAAAGAGACCTTGTCACCCAAAGAACACAGGAAAATGGTCAAGTAGGTGAGGGGAAACTCAACAGAGACCTATTACATTTATTGGACATTAAAACGGGAGCAGAGAGGGGAAAAATATGTGGGGGACACAAGGTGGTTGGTGGTGTAACGCAAAGCGGCTATAGAGCGAGCTTCAAAAATCAGGAATGTTTTCCGATTCACACTCGACTTGCTCACATGCCTCGGGACGGTTCCCTTTCTCGTCGCTCCCATGCTAGGATGAACCTTCTTTTTCTTTTGGAAGAATTAGAAACTTTTAAAACTGAGTCCGGCGCCTGCTCTTGGCAGTAATTACACAGGTTTGGCGGATGAACTAGTGGTTAACAGGAGATGGGTGCTGCCTGCAGCTGCCTGGAACCGGCGGGATCCGAACGCCCGCCCGGAGGCTCAATGGGGGGACTCACGGGCGTCGGTCTCCCGTGCTCCGCCCGGGGCCACTGCCTGCTTTGGTCCGCTCCACACCGGGGCTGAGACCCGGGAGCCGCGCGTCCTGCCCGAGGAAATACCACGCACCCCAGCGTTAGTCCTCCTTCCCGCCTTGGAACATTTCTGTCCGCTTTTCTACTTACTCTCTCAGCATTGCTAATGCCTCCCTCCCCACATTCTTCAGCCTCCCCCCTGCGCTTGGTACTGACGTCTATCAAGGGTGAAATGATGGAAACTATATTCATGGGCATGATTTCCATTAAATATCAATTAACCTGGGAGCCTCAGCCAGGCATGCAGTGCGTCAAGGGTAAATGTACATCTCATTTCCACAAGGCCCGCTCGGCTGGAAAAGGGTTTAGATTCGCTTTGATAATGCCAGGTTTGGGGGTCACCCTTGTGGCTTTTAATCAAACCACTTGGATAGGATCTAACTTAAAAAGTACGGTCCGTTCCGTCTACACTGCTTGACCATGTTCCCTGCTCTGCGCCCGCATGTCCAGAGGTGCAAAAGCCACAGCCAACTTCTGCGGGGCTGCTCCAGGGGCCGGAGGAGGGAGTCATTTGCTCTGCACCCTCCTGGGAGTGGCCTTCCTGCCTCCTCCGCCCCCCCTTCACCTCCCCAAGTGTAAGGCACCGCTGCACCCCCGCCCCGCCGGCCGCTGCCCACATTCCCTCGGCCCCGGGGGCACGGCGAACCCTTGGCAGTGCGGCTTTATGGGCCCCCTTTAAGGCCGGCGGAGGCATCTCCCGGCCAGTGTGAGGCGTCCCATCAGGAGCAGCGGAATCGCCTCGGATCCCTCCGCGCGGTTATCTCGCCCCCATCTGGCTCCCTCTCCGCGCAGTGGCGTGGTGCGAAAATGCCTCGCCGGGGCGCACCGAGTCGGCAGCCCCGGCGGCGGCGGCGGCGAGAGCGGTGGGAGGGGGCCGCGGGGGGGGCGAGGTGAGAGGTGGCGGGCAGAGGGTGTTTTTTTTCTTTTCCCTTCAGAGCGGGGGTTTGTAAACCGAAGCCAAAGAGTGTCCCCGTGGGCCGGGCGCACTTTTTTTTCTTGTCCCGGTGCGCACAGGGCCGCCTGGTGCCTGAGAGGAAACTGGAGGCAGCAGGGCAGGTCACCCGGGGCGTCGGCGATTAAATTGCGGTCGAGCCGGCTCGCGCAGAGAGAGGCCGGGAGGGCGGTGAGCGTGGGGGCTGGGTGAGGCCCCGCGACCCGCGAGAGAGACGGCGCGAGGCCGAGGCGGCAGGCTCGAAAGCCGGGCATGAGCGCCCAGTAGACGAGCGCCCGCGGCTGCCGAGCCTCAGAGGCCACGCGCGGGCGGGCGGCAGCAGCAGCAACGTAACCCGGCGGCCCCAGCGGCGTGAGCAGCCGCCCCAGAGGCCCCCGCGGCAGTGCAGCCGCGCAGAGGCGCGCTCCCTGCCTGCTCCGCTCCGCCCGCCCGCCCGGGGCCGCCCTCCCTCGGTCCCCGGCCGCCGCCGCCCCGATGAGCTCGTACTTCGTGAACCCGCTGTACTCCAAGTACAAGGCGGCGGCCGCCGCGGCCGCGGCTGCGGTGGGCGAGGCCATCAATCCCACTTACTACGACTGTCACTTCGCGCCTGAGGTCGGCGGCCGCCACGCCGCTGCCGCCGCCGCCCTGCAGCTCTATGGCAACAGCGCCGCCGGCTTCCCGCACGCACCCCCGCAGGCGCACGCGCACCCGCACCCGTCGCCACCGCCCGCCGGGCCGGGTTGCGGTGGTGGGGGCGTCCCGGGCCCGGGCCAAGACTACTTCCACCCCGGCGGGGGCAGCCCGGCCGCAGCTTACCAGGCCGTCCCCCCTCCTCCTCCGCATCCTCCGCCTCCGCCTCCCCCCTGCGGCGGGATTGCCTGTCACGGGGAGCCCGCGAAGTTTTACGGATACGATAACTTACAGAGACAGCCGATTTTTACGACCCAGCAAGAGGCCGAGCTGGTACAATATCCTGACTGTAAATCGTCCAGTGGTAATATTGGCGAGGACCCAGACCACTTAAATCAGAGCTCGTCTCCTTCTCAAATGTTTCCCTGGATGAGACCACAAGGTTGGGACGCCGTTTTTTTTAAGCGGGGAGAAGGGGAGAAATCTTTTATTTCACGTTCTAGCTTTAAAACTCCCCTTTCCTCTCCCTCTACTACTTCTTGTGTAGCTACATATTATTCATAACGTACTACAGACTTTCCCCCTCTTAAAATAGAAACCAAGTAAAGATGATGGGGACAGAATAATTGTGAAGACCTTCTCTCTCTCTCTCTTGCCTGCACATCCTGTATATATCAGCTAAAGAGAGTTGTGCATATTTCATTCCTTAGACCCATGCCAGAAACGTCCAACAACCTGCAGAGGCACCATTACATTTTTAAAAACGTTTATTTTCCTCTTTTGTTTTAATCAGCAGCTCCTGGTAGACGAAGAGGAAGACAAACCTACAGTCGTTTCCAAACCCTGGAGCTGGAAAAGGAATTCCTTTTTAACCCTTATCTGACCAGAAAGAGAAGAATCGAGGTTTCCCACGCCCTAGCCCTCACCGAGAGACAGGTAAAAATCTGGTTCCAGAACAGGAGAATGAAATGGAAAAAGGAGAACAACAAAGACAAGTTCCCGGTTTCGCGACAAGAGGTGAAGGATGGGGAAACTAAAAAGGAAGCCCAAGAGCTGGAGGAAGACAGAGCTGAAGGCCCAACGAATTAAATTCTACCTTTAAAATTCTACCATTGACTATTAAAGCTAATGATCAACATATGCTGGTGGATACCACCAATTTTCTTGTTGGAAAAACTACCTGTATTTCAAGCTACCTTCATGTCACTGCTCTTGAGGTTTCTGCTCTTTGAGAGGGATTTGGGTGTTTAAAAAGTTTCTAGTGTGATATAGAAGCAGCACTTGAGCTGTCCTATATAAGGGTAATTTGATCTTACCTTGTAGCGATATTTTTATAATGGTAGTTTTTTAATGTCTGAGCTAGTGATTTGCCTCAACAACATAAACTTCCTAATGATTAGCACTAAATAATTGAATATAAAATGCTTTATTAATCAAACAAGTGCACTTGAACATTTTAAATCTTTTCTTTATGGTGAGTAAATTAAAAGAAGTTTATTAATTTTTTTAAAAAAATTATGCCTGCAGAATATTTACTTTATTTTGATTAAAATGTATTATTTATGTTTTTTTTCTTTCTGCTTTTGTAATAATGATTCGGGTGCTTTTGTTTACTCCTAAAAGGTTTCTTTATTTTGTAAATGTAGTATCTCTGGGAAAAGTCTGGGCCAAATATTTGAAAAGCACATGTTAGTTGAAGAGTGTAATGTGTAGTCCGGCTCTGCAGCTTCCTTAAACTTGGGGAAAATGTTGGGCCAGTGACAAAAATTTCAGGGCAATGTCAAAGTTGACATTTAATGATTTTTCTATAATCTATACAAATTATGGCAATGTAATCATCTAGAGTGAATGAATACTTGAAAAGCCAATTATAACATTTTCACTCATTAACTTTTCACTCTGGCAAGTCGCTTTGTGGAATGCCTCTGCTTTGTCAACTTGCTTTCGTTTTGAACCGCGTTTGGTATCGCCTGAAATTGCTAGGTCTCTATGCTGTAGTCACCGCTGCGATTCCGTTTTTTAGTAGGTGCCATATTTATTTGTATTCCCTTCGCTCTGTTTGCACGCCCATTTTGAGCCAACTTGCAGTGTGTGTCTCAGATGTCGGTTGGTACGTCCTCTGTTGTTCTCCAGGATGGTCTCACCTATTTGAAACAAACCCTGAGAGCAAATGCAGAAAAATCCGAGTGTAAACAACCGCTCCAGAACATAGCTAGCTCTTTAATAAAGAAATGAATCTTTTTCTAGAGCTAGTGTCTTTGAGCGCCGCAAATAGCCCTTTTCCTGAGTCAGAAACAATTGTCTGGGCTCACTGAAGGCAATGCCCCGCTAAAGCTTCTATTTGCTAAAAAGGAGGTGGGGGGTTATATGCGCCCATGCTATAAAAATAAATAAATAAATGTAGGGGAGGGGGCGCTCTCTTTCATTCCAGAGAGGACTGGCTAGGCTATCCTAGCTTCATTTTACTTCAAATAACCTTGCTAAGATACTGTGAAAGCTTTGAACTTCACAAAGGACTCGAGTTGTAGGCCCAGTGGGACGACCCGGAGCCAGGTTACACCACAGCTTATTCTGCTGAGCCCACACTGATGCTGGGGTTTGAGATCTGTTATTAACAAGATATCCATTTTCCATTAGAGGCTGCTCCTGCAGCTGCCATTTTATGAGAGAAAAGGAGGGGGAAGAAGGGTAGGAGAGAACAGGAGAAATTCAAGTAAACTAACATTTCTCCCTGCAGAAGGGAAAGCACCTTTGTCAGGTAGACATTGAAGAGCTCTTTGCTTTTTCTAGATGCGTTTATTTTTAAAGAGGTACATTTTAATTTCCAGAGTGGCATTTATTGCAGAGGTAAGAAAATGGAATCGTATAGTATTAGGCCTGCATGACCCCCTCAGGCATCTGCGGGCTGTTTGCATGTGACCTCAAGGACCAGGGAAATGTTGGCATTGATCAGGCCAGCGGCGAATCACCACCTGACTTTCTATCCATGGAAGAGGCTGTAGCTGTGGCATTAGCTGACCTGAGCCAGGAAAGACAATTTTAAGTCACGGGTGGCTCAGGGCTTAAGAAACATTTGCACGAGGGGAGACAGCTGCGAACGTGCATGCTGGATTTGGAAACGTTTTGCACTGTGTGCTGCCTGAGACTCTGCTGTTGGTTGACACAGAGCAAGGATGCCAAGTACCTTAAAGGATGGCTAAGGAACAGCCTGGGGGTGAGGGGACGGCAAGCTGGCCAGAGACTGGTGCTGGCTAAATTCCAGCTGCCCTCCATGTAAGGGATTCCTCTGTTAGCACAATTTGCTGCCTTAAGAATACTCCCCAAATATTTTTAAGAGCCACTGATTTGGGCAAAAATCAGGTAGGGGACCTGGTGTGTGGATGGATGAAATAATGGAACGAAGAGGAGGTAAAAACGTCTTTATTTCCTCTGTGTTCTATGCTGCTCTGTAAGTACTGTACCTCTGGCCCCATCATCATCCTAACCACATGGTAAAATTGTAGCTCATGTATAGAAAAAGACTCTGTTGCAATTCCTGGTATATTTGAGAGTATTTGTACATATACAAATTTGGGGGGTTTTTGGTATATATTTGGTAGATTTGTACATACACATAGATTGCACATGTGCAAAAAGTGTTGGTAATAAATGTAGGTATATATGTTTTCTTTTGTAGATGGGGAAAGCATAGATTTATCTCCAAATAAAGAGCTTGGGGAATTACACATCACACACACTCACCACCTTTTTTTCTTACAGTGGCTAGAAACCCACCATCCTGGTGTTTCATGCAGACAGACTCACAGTGACGAGAGCAGAAGGTGCCTTTCTAATTGGCTCAAATCTGTAAACATTTGAAGGTTGCGGCAACAAACGAGCAAACATTTTTGCTGCAGAAATTTGCATAAACCTTCAAAGAACCCTTTGCAAACACAGGCAACTGCTTTTCTGCCCTGGACTGCTTAGGGAATCTTCTTAGAGAGGTCTGTAAACCATTTAGAGAAAAACAGGACCCTCTAATGTTAACACTGAATGAAAGAACCAAGCCTTCTAAGTGATTTAGGTTCTCAGTTTGCAAGGACCAGAAACACAAAAGAGGGTTTGGGTCTCAATGTTTCCTAGAGAAAAGTCAGTTCAGGGACTGCCATTTTGTGAGGTTCTACAAAGCCCAGGACATCCCTTACCTCTGCACAGGGAGAAAAAGTGCAAATGTGGCTGCCTTTTCAGTGCAGAGAGTCTTTTCCTAGCCTTTCTTCCCCAAGTTGAAAAGGAGGGTCATAAAACTCTGCTTTTATTTGGAGAGAGGAAAATTGACAATTGAGATTATGTCTCAGAAAATTTTAGAATTGAACAATCCCTCTTCAGTTCCACATGTATAATAAACCAGTGTAAATAAAATGTTCTAGTTAGGGAAGGCCAAACAGCTTGCCCCATTTTCTGTGTATTGAAAAACATTGTCTTCTTATTGTTCAGTGCAGAAGGTGTTATTTCACATCCAAACTTCTGTCTTTTACTTCCCCCGTTTGCTGAATCCTTGGACATCTGGGGGTGAACAGGGGGAAGAGAGAGAACATTTTAATGGACCTTGGCTGCTGCTATGGTTCCCTCCAGCAAAGTTAAAACCCACTGACTTTTTCTAGAAAGAATATGACTTTTGCTGACAGATGGCAACAGAAGTCCTTTAATCAGAAACATCCAAGGTCATCAGAACTTTTTCAAGGAATATAAATGGCTATCTCCAGAGGGTTTTGTGTACTTCCTGCTTAAGTCCACATCCACTTAATTAGTTACTGGGTGTGAGAATGTTAAATAGCAGAGAACTTACACACAGACATCCAATGTAAATATTTATAAACATATTAGAAGTCTAAAGACAGTGTCCTTGAAAGGATGGGCGGGGGAGGAGTTACCTCTTTCCGGCAGGTTTTGAAGCTTGCATGGCCATGCCCATGCATTAATGATGGGGGGAATTGCTGTGGCCAGCCAAGGACATTTACTTTCAGCCAAGATTCACTGGAGCAACTCCTATCAGAGGTGCAAAAGGGGATGTGACCCCTGCCTTTGAAGAAAAAATTACTTTTTCCCCCCAAGGATAAAACCGGGGAGTCCCTCTTTTCCTGAATAAATGAAGCCTCTCTCCTCTTCAATGCTGCATTGAGCAGGCTTTATAATGGACAAACATTTGGGGGGCCAGAAAAGAGGGGAAAACTAGAATTAAATTCCATAGAAATGAGAATTGCACTTAGGGGAGACTTACAGCAAGGGGTTTCAGAGGGAGTTCAGAAAGATTGCTTCTCCTCTAACCCAGGGCTGACCTGGAGGATGTTTTCTGCCCAGATAAAGGCCAGGCATTGGGGGCTCAAACTGTTATTTTGGAGAAGTTGACAAGTATCTAAAACCATTTCCAGCCTTTGAGCTGGTTGGTGACTGTCCTACCCCAGAAACCCCAAGAAACGGGAGGGATCCCAACTTATGTTGGAGAGGGGTTAGGGAGGAGAGCTTGATTTCTTGGCCTGCAGATCCTCAGTTTCCAGTGCAAGATCACTGACGCTGGCTTGCCAGGAAATTAGAGGGGCAAAACCCGAAAGTGCTTGGCTGCCTTCCAGAGCGGGCCTTTTTGGGAGGGGAGGGGAGGAGAAGTCGAGTGCCCCCTGTAAGGGGAGATTTGGAGGGAGGTGACTGCCAGGATCACCAATCTAAGTGCCTGGTCAGTACGCCGCCGTACACCTCACTCATTTTCCTTCTAACATAGAGTCATCCCAAAAAAGAAAAAAATAATTCCTAGAAAAGGTGGGAGAGAACCAGAAACTATTGAGGCAAGAGAGGCAGAGAGAGCAGAGGAGAGGAGAGCAGGGAGGAAGGAAGACGAAGAAGAGAGACAGAGGGAGGAAGGAAGGAAGGGAGGGAGGGAGGGAAAAACATGGCGCTTGCAAGCTGTACGTGCAAAATCCGCAAGGAATTGCAGTAAATTCCTTTTTGTTTGAAGAAAATTTACAACTTGGTAATAGACCTTTTTATGACCTATTTGCGGTCGTCATTGGCTGCGGCTGGTCATGTGCAGGCGCCGCTTGCCTTCACGGCCCTTTTCCTGATTTCCCAGGCGAATTTCCCCCCGCATTCTGCCTTCCTAGAGCCTCACCCCCTCTTTTTCTAACCTTTGTCTCTGCAGAGGTGGGCTACAGTCGTCGGCAGCAGGAGTGCGGGGTTCGCGGCGGCCTCGGCACCCACCCGGCGCCCAACTTGGCCCTTACCGTGGCTTCGCTCCGGGCTCACCGCTGCCGCCTCCGGAGCCGGTGGGGAGCCCGGAGGGCGGGAGAGCCCGGAAGAAGCCCCAGGCGCCGAGGCCCCCGCTGGCGCCGACACCGCCCGCCAGAAGCAGCCGGCCTGCTCCGGGTGACCGCAGCCGCGCGGTTCCGACGCGACTCGTTCTCTCCAACATGAGCGGGTCCCTGCCGCCCATAGAGCGTGTAGCCAGGCAGCGCCTAAAGGATTACAGCAGCC